CGAGGGGCTGAGTGAATGATCGTCATGAACCTATTTTAAGCGTTAACACACGGCAACGAACAAACTTCGTGAGAGGTGTCTAGCTATCGTTGGTGGCCTATGAGACATCGAAACCCATCAGCGACAATCCTCACGAAAGGTGCGTGAACGATCGTCCTGCACTTTATTTTAAGCGTTAGCACCCGGCAGCAACAAGCTCCGCGAAAAATGTCTAACCATCTTCAATGGTCTATCGGATGTATCGGCATCAAACAGTGATAAGCTCAGCGAGATGTGCATGAACTATCGTCATGCGCCCTATTTTAAGCGTTAACACCTGGTATAGACAAGCTCTATGATGAGCGTAACCATCACCAGTGGCCTTTAGGACGTATAAGCACTCGGCAGCGAGAAACCCCGCAAGGGTTGCGTGGATGATCGTCCTATCCCCTACTTTAAGCGTTAACACCCAGCAATGAGAAGCTTAATGAGAAATCTATGCTTCTTGCATATGCGCTAAAGAACAAAAAAGAAAATTCAAGGTCATAAACCCTCCAAAAAAACAAAGCAAAAAAAAATCCCTTACAATATAAAGTATGTTTGCAAAAACTAAATTACAAAATTTTCATACGAGCATGTGTAAACAACAATATAAAGGAAAGCTAAAAAAAGAGATCGTCTGTCAGCTCTATACATTAGAATACTCCCCATCACCCTCTTCTCCAGATTCTTCAGCTTCCTTGGCGTCGTTCGACTTCCCATTCGATGACTTTTGTTCTTCACCTTCTGAATTTGAAAGAAACGTGTCAAACTCCTCTATGTCCCGCCACTTGGGATCGACCAGCCCATGTTTCACAAATTTCTCTATAGCAAGAGACAACCTTAATCTGACGGGAAAGGCCCTCAACATGCTCTACCCGAGAAATCATAAAGAAAACTTTCTCTTTAAACTCTTCGTGCTCCTTAAGAAGAGTCTCGTGTTCCAGAGCCTCTAACTCCCTATGCTCCAAACATAGCTACAGCCTCTCCTCGGTCAAGGAGACTCTTTGCCTAAATTTTTCTATCTACAAGGCATCCCTCATAATTTTTCCTTCGATCCACTACAAAAGAGTCCCCACGAAATACGAAGCCTCCCACCAAAAAACATGATATCGATCGATTGCCTGATACATATCCCGTCAGTCCATCGTTCTCAGGTGTTTTTCAAAAGTGGGAAACTAAAACGCCTCCACCAAGGTCGACGAGCAGTTTCCACTCAAAGGAGTAAAAGGATATCACTCGGTATCTCTATCAAGAAGAGTGTAATGACCGCTCATCCAAATTTCAGCCCCTCGGTCATGAGAGAACAACCAATTGAATGAGATCTCCTCTCCCGAAGGAGGAGACAACTCAGTTTCTGGAACAGGAGCCTTCCCTTGCCCCCAAGGCACATCACCTTCTACCCTCTCAGCATCTCCTGATTCTCCTCCCGACTCGGTCTCTACCAAGGTAGGACGAGAAGAGCGACTTGCTTCCGCTCGACCTTGCAAGCCCACGAACGAAGTCCCGCCAAGAGAAGCAGCAAAAATCCCAAAATCTGATACTACGAGTCTCGAGGACATTGTCGCCGCTCCCTTTAGATAATGCAAAAACAATATAAATACATACTCAAATGTGCAAACAACTAAAACAAGGAAAATTTGTTTACCTTCAGTACATTCTTCAGTCAATCCGGTGGGAGCAGACCAACCCTCACCTATCCTAAACAAGGAAGGATCAATTTTCCCCTGATGTTTCTTCGAAGCCAACCTCTTCTTAGCGGTCTTCTCTCTAGCCACTTCTCGAGCGTTAGATGTCGCCCATAACCCTTCGGTCATGATCTCGTTGTCGTCGGGTCGAGGCATATGCTCTATCACATATGGATCAAGCTATTGAAATAACGAGAGACGTTGAGCCTCGATCAAGTCCTTATGATCTCTAATATTACCCAAAAGTGTATTCACTTTCTTCACCTCACTTTCCACCGGATCGGCGTCGAACCCCTAGCCATTAGCACAAGAAACCACAAGAAATTTCACTTTCCAATCTTTTATCTTATTCACAAGACCTACCCAAATAGATCTTGGAACCGGCGACAAACTGAACATAGTCGTCCCGATCGATTCGGAAGGAGAAGAAATTGTTGAACAATTTGAGTGACCAAAGGATCTTCACCCTTCGGCAAAAGAGAACGAAAATCATTATGGAAGCCACTGAGCTGAGAAGAACTTGGGCAAGAATAACCCCATACAGTCTGAAAATTGATCGCATTTCCTTACAATGTGGCAGCCAAAGACCCATTTTAAACTAATCTTTATGGAAAAACAAATCCGTAGAGAAAGGGCCCGTCGCCCGCTCATGGCTGGCGACCTGCCAAAGTTGGAAAGTGGGATCGGAAATGTAAAGGCTAGAATTGAGACTTCCAAGACTGGAATCGACCCAAATGATTATAGGGAGCATTTCTGTGTCATACGATCCATAATAACCTGGAAAGTGGGATCGGAAATGTAAAGGCTTTGAATCTCTCTCACTTCTGTGCAGAGAGAATTGAGACTTTCAAGACTGGAATCGACCCAAATGATTCTAGGGAGCATTTCTGTGTCATACGATCCATAATAACGCACAAGAGAGCGAGAATAAGAATAATAATAATAAAAGGGAGTAAAGTATCACGAATAAGACTATATCATAATATATGTGTGTGTGTGTGTGTGTGTGTGTGTGTGTGTGTGTCTATATATCACATTAGCACAAAAAATGAAACGCCACCGACAAGACTATTGTGACAAGAACCATGTAATGCTTGAGAAGTAATCATTACCATAAATATGAAATTAGTATTTTATTTATTTATTTATTTACAAAAGGAGAGAGTGTCACACCACACCCTCGGATACAGCTAAGGAAAAACCTAACTAGGTGATTGTTTGAGTCTTCATCCGGGACAAACCCCCGTTGACGCTGTTGCTTGTTAAACTCACTGCCCAGCTTAAAAAGATCATGCTAACCATATCTCAATCGGGCGACAGAACCCTCTCTAAAGGCCAACGGCACCTGATAAAGCCGAGCCATCTCCCCACGACCAGCCAACATCTCCCCTCGAAAAACAACAAGCTCCTCACGAAGTGCAGCAACTTCTTTCTCTACCCGAACTCGTTCCAATACCTCAACAACACCATCACTATCCCCCCGAGGTTGTACTATGAGATGAAGAAAGCGCTCTTTCATTTCCGCAAGACTGCTAGGAAGTCGGCATACACCCGACGACCCTCAAGTGTCGCATTCTCTGCTAACTACGCGGGAAGAACTTTGTTGCCCACGCTCTTACATCCGCCCGAGGGAGGATTCTCTCTTACCCTCTAGGTCATAACGTCTGACTCCATGGTCCCTTGTTCAAAAGCAACTTGTTCCTCAGTATTCACTCCCCTCTCCCTAGCCCGATCCACAAAGACCACATCGCCCTCAAGATCGGCGTCAGTGTCTGAGGAAGTAGAAGCGATCATCTGTACTCCTGCAACTGCAAAAGGAATACTAAAAGTATGATTCAAACTACATACCCAAAACTCAACGTCATTCAGCAGTGGTGTAAGAGACGAAGTCCTCGCCAATCTCCTCAAGTCCTCCAGCCACAGAGGAAAGGCCAACCTTTTGCGGCTGAGGCTGAGTCCCAGCTTTAACCCCCCCAACATTAGTCGGCGCATTATCGACACCCTGGGGAGTCATAGTCCATGCAGCAATCAAAATGCACATTCCTCCCTTTTGGGCAGGAGTGACCGCCTCCTATGGGTGTCCTAAAAGACGATCGCAGACACACCTTCCAAACTCCACCGCAGCTCCCCCCTGTGATGGACATACAAAAAAAACCCGATGACCCAATTCGATCTTTGTTTCCCCTCGCTCGCAACTCCTGCAAAATTCTCTTCTTGCACAACTCTCTCGCGAAAGCCTCTCCTGCACGTTTTCACTTCATGTCAGGTTTGCGAGTCTTCGCCCACATAATCACTCATTGCTTTGAGAAGGGCGCTCTTGTCGGCAGATGGCGCTCCCTCACCAAACATCGCGGCAACCACAAAAAATAAGAGATATAAGATTAAAAAAGAGATAAGAAAAGGAAAGGACACAAAAACTCTTTACCCCAAGGCCTATTTATATTGGTTCAGGCATGGAAATCCAGAGAAGTCCTTTATTCCGCAATAATGTCATTTAATTATTTCATACATGTTAAAAAGAATATCATGTTCCCGTACATTGTGCAGCTTCCGATGAGCAAAAAAATCGGGGAATTAAATATGTACGTATAAAAATATATCAACACGAATCTTAATGCAAATGAACGGCCCAGGAGAATAATACTGAAGATTAGTCATATCTATTGACAACCGTCCTGAGCTGGATTTTGGTAAGGGAGGCGTCTTAATCCAGCGATTGGTGAAACGTGTCAAGAGATTTCTCGCAGGGCGGGAATCAGCCTTCAAAACAATTGATAGGAAGCTCTTTTTCAGATTACATATCGATTAAGCTAAGGCTCACCTGACGGTCGGCAAACTATTATCGATCGAATCGGTCCATCAGTTTTATTATATGCTAATAACTCTGTAATTACTAAAAAAATCCTTTGAAAAACCAATGATGAGGAGAGCAATATGTACTTTTTTAATATTGAGACATATGTTTATAAATAGAGGGTTTATATTTTGAATAAAAGTTACATTCTCTTTTACTACTCTCAACTGTGTTCACACACACACTCTCTCTCTAATCACTTTCGTAATAGAATATTTTATTTTTTGAGCATCTTTGTCGGACATTTTTGGATTCACCAAAACATATATCTATTTAGTTCAGGAATGTTATTTTGTAAGAAAGCAGGATGTTAAAATAGGATCCATTGATAATCCACGAACTAGTGAACTTTCGAGTAAATGTAAAGCAAAACTAAACAGAAGGGTCTCAAAGGAAACACAAAGCCAATCAAAGAACCGTTAGGAAGAAAAAAAACTCACCCTTGCTTGCGCTGATGAGAAAAAAGCCGTCCGCAGTGATAGGGCTGTAGAACAAATCAACGACAGGGCGAGAATGCCCATGGCAGACTAAAGGAACCGCCATCTTCTTCTTGTCCATTCCTTCGCTGACGATAGTAACGCCACACAAAAACAAAAACAAAAAGACCCTAAACCCAAAAGAAAAAACTCACTCCTCCCGCAAAATCCCCCTAAACGAAATGCAAAAACGAATTAGAGATCAATAAACCTCACTCCTGCCCCAAAAACAAAAGGCAACAAAGCGAAAGCCGGAATCAAACACAATAAAAGGAGTAGTAATGCCTAGACTTCACATAATCCATGCGCAATCTTGACCACCTAGCATCTATAAGGACCAAATGGAAGAAAATTATACACAGACTGTCACCGATATATATATATAATCAACATACGCCAAATCGACAACTGAAAAGAAGATGCAAGGAAAAAAACAAGAGAAAAACTCAAACTCTGACCGGTTCGGGGTGAGGGTTCTAACAAGGCTAACGTTTTTATAGTACCAGTCCAACCAAGGCAATAATCGGGATCAAATTGGCTTGAATAGCGGTACCGAATAAAATCAAAACTCGGGATTCGGTCGAACCAAATAAAATCGTTTACAATTCACAGATTCTTAATTTGGTCATATATTTGTCTAATAGGAATCATGCTCGGTCCCATCTCTAGTCTTCGTCTTTCTAGATCTATGTGGCAAAAGTGGCAAATGAAACAAGGGCGAATGTAGAAAAAATATTTCATACAGATATTGTACGTCTGAACAGCCAATCACCGGACCCACGTCGTCATACACATCATCGGCGGACGACGTGGCGGTCAGTGATTGGTCGTTTGTCAAACTCTGACCGGTTCAGGGCGAGGGTTCTAACAAGGACTAACGTTTTTATAGTGCCAGTCCAACCAAGGCGATACTCGGGATCAAATTGGCTTGAACAGCCGTACCGAATAAAATCAAAACTCGGGATTCGGTCGAACCAAATAAAATCGTTTACAATTCACAGATTCTTAATTTGGTCATATATTTGTCTAATAGGAATCATGCTCGGTCCCATCTCTAGTCTTCGTCTTTCTAGATCTATGTGGCAAATGACACAAGGGCGAATGTAGAAAAAATATTTCATACAAATATTGTACGTCTGAACGGTCAATCACCGAACTCACGTCGTCATACACATCATCGGCGATCGACGTGGTTGTCAGTGATTGGTCGTTTGGATACGCGGACGTTCGGATGGAATATTTTTTTTTTCCGCGGGAGCACGATCAGGATCGAAACTCTCTTATTTGGTATTTTTATTCCTTCTATTTTCGTCCTACCATAAATAATTGAAGAATGTAAGTGGTAACCCTAATCGTACTTGTTTCACCCTTCCTCCTCCTAATTCTTATTCTTTAGCTTCCCTAGATCTCCATACAGTATTAGTAACCCTCATCGGCGGGCGACGTGGTAGTCAGTGATTAGTCATCCGGATACGCGAACGTTCAGACGAAGTGTTTTTTTCCACAGGAGCATGAACAGGACCGAAACTCTCTTATTTGGTATTTTTATCAATTCTCCTCCTACCAGAAATAATTGACGAATGTAAGTGGTAACCATATTCGTCCTTGTTTTCCCACTTCATCCTCCTAATTCTTACTCTTACAGTATTAGTAATTTTAATTTTTTAAAAGCAATAACCATTGTCTTTAAGGAACAAATCTCCATCCCAAAATTGTTGAAAACCCTTGACAATATAAAAAAAATTAGGTCAGGAGACATTACCTGAATAAGAGCTCAAGGACCAACAGAGTGGATTTGAATCCATCAGATGTCATGACTAATTGTGTGGTATTAACAGTAAACAAAAAGAGAAATCGGATTTAAGATTATGTTGGACTTAAAATTGTCATTTTGGCTCTTTCAAAGAATATAGGTCAAAGTTTTGCATAAATTGGTTTATAACACAATAGTGTGATAAATGTAAATAACTTGTTGAATATCTAGGGTCTACACTTGTCAAAAGCATAAATTATATGAGTTGCAACAAACAAATTAGTAGATTTGTTTCATGCTATATTTAATCTTTTTTTTCTCTACTTCCAAGTTCGTGATTCCATCTAACCATCTATGTAATGATGTGCCCTAAGAGAACAGTGATGTTCTTCGTACGAAGCTACTTGTTTTGCCAGTCTTTCCTCTGATTTAAGAAAGAGCTATAATAATCTAATGAATGAAACAAAGATGAATATTCTATGTGATTTGTCCCATATGTGTTGGCACTAATCTGACTATTTATGTTAGTTTGAGTTTGGCATTTATAGGAACAAAATGGCGTTTATGTACAAGTTTGAAAGGTTTTTGGCTCAGTTAACTTCTAGTTTGTAGTTATAACATTGAATTATATGTATTGTAGTTTTATCCCAAGAGATCTTCAACTTATTGCTTAGTGGAGGCATTGCTTTTGTGAATTGCTGATAAGGATTAGTCCTATATAATAGTTTGGTTTGGATTCCTAAAGCCAACATTTGCCTTTTATATGAGGATAAGCATACTTGGATTGCTAAAATAAAAGAAGTGATGATGTTGGAAATTATTTAAATGAATTATTGCAAAAACAAAATGAGAATGGGCCGATATAAGGCATCAATTTTTACCATGGTTTCTATCATGATGAACTTTGATTCTTACATTTATATCACATAGATTTGTCATTTGAAATATGAATAACGATAAACTTTTTGAGCTTTCTTATCTAACTTCTTGAATGTTATGGTTGTTTATATTTATTTTTTATTATCAAGAATATTTTATATTATTTACTTTTAATATTTGAGTTTTGTTTTAATGTCGTTTGTTAGAATGAAATCAACTGAAAAAAAGTCTCTGATTTTGACACGCTGTATTTATGAAAAATTAAATATTGATTGGAATCATTTTATTGAAATTAAAGACTCTGAGAGAAAAAAATGATTTAAGTGTCTGTATTTTAGAGTTATCCACAAAGGTAAATATATTAATAAAATGAAACAGCAACTTGTTGGAGTTAATGAAAGAATCCTAGCTTGCAAAAAAGTATTGCATGATGTCAGGTATCAAATCCAAGAGAATTTAAAAGAGATATCTAAAAAAAACAAGAAGAAAAACATAGAAGACATATAAATATATGATGAAGAAGGTAGCAAACAAGAAAGGAATTCCTCACTTCCCAAATCACAAAATTCAACTTCTTATCATAAAGGACTTAATAAGAGAAAAAAAATATTGATGAAGTGAAAAATTATTTTGCTCATATAATAAAATCAGGATAATAACCATCTTTGAAAAATGAAATAGCATCTAAAGATGATATACATCATGATGATATGGCAAATGCAAGATGGTTTTTTTATTGTTGCATGCCTTTTAATGCATTGAGTTTGTTATTTGCATAGAAAGCTATTGATACATATGTTGCTATTGGACCTGGATATCAAATCCCTTCTTACCATAGAATGAGGGTAAATTTATTGAGAGATTGAAAAGATGAGAGCAAACTTCTTATTGAATATTTCAGGTGTTGTTGGAATTAAACGGGATGTGCATTAATGGTTGACAGATGGACAAATAACAAAGCAAAATATTAATCAATTTTCTAGTTTATTCTCCAGGTGGTGTATCATTTGTAAAATTTGTTGATGTTTCTGATATTATAAAGGATACAAACACTTTGTGTGGTTTATTTAAGGAATTTGTTGAATGGGTTTGTGCTAAAAATATAATTCACCTATTGACTGATAATGCTACAAATTATAAATAAGCAGGATGATTATTTTATGAGAAATATGGGAATATATTTTAATGGGTTTGTGCTAAAAATACAATTCACCTATTGACCGATAATGCTACAAATTATAAATAGGCAGGATGATTATTTTATGAGAAATATGGGAATATATTTTGGTTACCTTGTGCTACACATTGTTTCAATCTTAGATTAAAGATATTTGAGGGACTTTCTAGTAATGCATTGAATGTGATAATATTTGTTCACAATCATATTTTCTTGTTATCATGGCTGTGAAAAAGATCGGGCTGAAAGAGATAGTACACCTAGAACCAACACGCTTTGCAACTACTTTATCACTATAAGAACTGTCTACGAACATAAAAATGACTTGCAAGCACTTATTACTAGCAAACATTACATTGATTCAAAGCTATCAAAGACCAGATGCAACTTTTATCATTTTGGATTGTAAGTTTTTGAATGACTGCTTAATAATATCAAAATTATCAGAACCTTTAGTAAGATTACAACGGGTAGTTGACTCTGATGTGAAACCCTCAATTGATTTTTGTATGATGGAATAAATAGAGTTAAAAAAAGAAATTAAATGTATCTTCAAGAATAAGAAATTTTTTTCTAAGCCATATACCAATATTGTTGAAGGAGATGAGATTTTCGGCTTCGGCGAGGCATTCAATCAGCTGCTTATTTCTTAAACTCATATTTTTAAAATGATTGCAATAGCTATTGTCATAAATTTGATGCCATCCAAGGTCTGGTTGAAATGATTAGAGCTAAAGAAATATGTAGAAAACCAAAACTTGCAATGAATGTGATTAGATTAAATTGAGATTATTTAGAAAGTTTTGGACAGTCGATTGCTATTACTATGTCTAAGGAAATGCAGCCTCATAAATTTATTATAAACTATTTTATCACAATTATAATAGATTTGGTTATTTTCAATTTTTTTTAAATTAATCAGAAGTTTATAAATTTATATTATGCAAATGAATGTGGGAAGATGTTTAGATCTTGGGCTCCAAACATCCAAAAATTAGCTATTTGTATTCTCAATCACACATGTTCTGCATCTGGATGTGAAAGAAGTTGGAGCATTTTCATGTAAATTCACACAAAGAGGTGAAATCATCTTGAGCATTTGTTCGCCTCGTTGGGGGTTTTTTGTCCGTTGTCGGTTCCATGTTATTCTCCTCGACACGGGGCTTTAGTACACCATGCATATTCATAGGTTTGAGGTGTTCGAATAATCAAGCACATCATCAATGGTTTTACGATGGGTTTGATTATTTAAACAAAAAAAATGTTGGTTATCATCATTGATCTATGAATAAATCCGACAAGTCAATTCCCCTATCTGATCTGGAAACTATTTAGGGTTTAGATTAATTTTAGGGTCTTCTCCTTCCTAGAAAAGCAAGACTATATAGTTAGTTATATCTTGAGCAACCGAAGCTACTTCAGAAAACACTTGATTAAGGTTGTGGCTTTATCCTCAAACAGTTGAATCTTGTCATTTTAAAAGAGATATTTTAATGTTTTGTTCTGATGTTTTATTAAAAAGTTAGGATTGCACTACATACAATCATGTAGGAGCCTAAAGGTGAGGATTTACATCATAAATGGATGAACAACCTAAGATTATGAGGGTAAAGTTCACCGAGAGAGGTGAAACTTCGGAGCCCTAACCTAAACAGACGCATAACCTTGCCTGGAAAGGGCTGCCACTTAAACCT